GGCTTATGTTTACAATAGAAGTCTTCTGTTTAACTAACTTTGCACAGGTTTAATTTGATTCAGCAACTTAGTCTACTAATGAATGCATTGTAGGAAAGTTGAACATATTAGAATGAATTTGTGAAGGCACTAATTAATAGAAATCTTTGGAAGCACTATAGTTATTGTAAAAATTAATTTGTGGTGGCTAAATAACGTGCTGCACTCAGAAAAAACAAAGAAACAAAGCAACCCCAAATTGAATTTAGAATGATTAGCATTACAGGTAACGTAGCACTTCTAGGCACAGGGGGCAACTTGGCTTAAAAAATTGAGATTTTTTTTTTTTCTTTGTCTTTTTCTTCTTGGGAGTATGTGAAAGTTACTGTTTATTTACCACTCTGAAGAATGATTATTTAGGTCCCAGATCCTCTTGGTTTTGCCTTTTTACTTGTATAAACTTTTTTGTGATCATTTCTGCATAGCTAATATTATTAAGTAGGACTTTTTTGTGGTTGTTGCAAGAAAAGTATAAATCCTATAGGAAAGAAAAACTATTTTTAGAAGATTTTGAAACATGTAGATTTTTAAAATACAATATAAAATGAGTAGATTCCTTATACTTGTTTTTGCAAGTTTATATATATATTTTTAAAGTCTATCTTCAATCCCTGTCCCTTGTTTTATGTTTTATTTAGTGTATCTAAATAAGTGTTAATTTAGTTTTGATTCAGGGTCTTAGGCTGAATACTTAGCGTGAGTGCTGAGTAACGTAAATGTTGAGGTTTGATAATCACAAGCATTTTTGTGTGGAAAAGTTGAGATGGAACCATCTTTTAGAAGTTATTTACTATTGTATACTTTTAAAAACGAGTTTTTATTGATAAACTCAAAAGTGTTCATTTATTCCTATTTCTCCTCAGATAACTTCAAGTGATGTACGAAAAGGTTTGGAGTTCATTTTTGTGGAAAGACTTTAAATTGGTATTAGAACCACTAAACATCATCAAATGGTACTATGAGGAAAAAAAAAAAGAGAAAGCCATTTTCATAAATTTTCAACTCTTAACTGCGGTTTTCTGACTAAATTCATAGCCATCTGACCACTTGTTTCTCAAGCCCCTCCTTTCCTCTCCCAGCACTTTGAGTAGCTGTGACACTGCATATCGTCAGCCCAGGCCGTCAGCTCACTACCCTTACCCTTGTGCATTTCGTCTCCTGTTTCTAACAAAAATAATCGTAAATTTTGTTTCCAAAATTTCTAACAAAAATAATCCTAAATTTTATTTGTTGATTAATGTGATCAACAACCTGAATAAAATAACCACCTCTGTTGGTTCTTAATTGACACATTTTCTATCATAGGGAATTTAGCTTTGTTCCACTTTGACAAAATTTCATCTAGATTATACAGATATATGTATATTTTCTAGTTAGTATATGATAAAAAAAGTGCAAATTAGTTTCTGTACATTATGAATGTTTAGCTCACTAAGTATAATTATTTTCACATCCATTTATTCTTATTCTCCAGCACTTAAATGTTTCAAAGTTTCATTGTAGAAAAGATGCTACAGAAAGTTCATTTTCATGTGTGGATCATTACATTTTTCATTTGTTACCATTTGAGTTTTTATAAAAATGATATACATTCCCCTTTTCTTTAAATTTTATACACGAGCACTTTAATGGTAGATGCAACTTCATTTTTCCAGGTTTTCCCTTTTAAAGACCACGCATTTACTGATGTTACTATGAAGGCAGGAAATAACATTACTGACATTTTTATAGTTGCTGACAATCCATTCACAACCACTTCTTTATTTAAAGAAATAAACTGATTCTTATGATACACGTATATCTCTTTGAATATTGCTGGGGAAAAAGAAGATGGGAGTGGAAATCCTAATAATTTTTCTCCCAGGAAAAAAATCTTAAATGACCACGTTAGATAATAATATTTGATTCTTACTGTAAAACTTGCAAGATGATGAGTTCTTGTCCATTTTTAAAATCAAGCTTTTAGGAAAAACAGAAGTTCATCTATCTTTATGAATTTGGGGCAAGCTTTTGTGTATTAATATTTTGTACTTTTTAGGGAATATTTTATTTTTTAGTAATTTGTGTCAAATTATAATTTTAAAAGGTACAGCAGAAACTTTACCATGTTTTTATATAGGTTCGTACCTGTATTTAGGAGGGACTCTGTCCATCTTCATAGTTTTTGTATAAAATTTTAAAATGTTGATGATCCACAAGGTCATAATAAAATGCTTCTATAGACAGAAAAACATATACTCTTCTTAGTGCTTTGCACTGAAATATACTGTGAAAGGAAACTAGAAGGACTGTCCTGTTGCTGGAAATGTCTCTATTGAATGTACGTGCTCTTGTTGGACAAATGTACTAAATGTGATGAAATAAAGCAGGCTCGAATTTACTTCAGCTAATTGTGCTTCAGCAAGGGTGCATTGGTTGAAGCTTAAATGTTTTATTATCAGATTTAATCTTATTCAATGACTATGAGCAGCTACACTTGAATTATATTCTGATAGTTTTATTTTTAAGATTAGAGTAATAATTTTCTCTTTAATTTAAAAGCAGATTTACTTTTCCACATACGGAAATTTGTACTTATAGGTCTAACTTGAATGACTAATAGCATAATATATTTAGGGAACTAAATGTGTAGGTGGTATTTCATTTATAAACCATCTTCATCAGTTGCACATTATTAAACCTGTATGTTTGACTTTTGCAAGGTGTTATCTTTTATGCATTCCGACACACAAGACATATTCCAAAGAAATTTTTCAGCCTTAAGTACCTGTGACCAATGAAAAGATAGACATTTGGGGTAAACTCTTTGAAACATCCTTTCATCCGTCCATCAGCCTTTTTCTTCTCTATTCTCCTTGTTAAATATTGTGGGAAGGAAAGAAAATTGGTCTGCTGATGAGTGTGGGAAGCCCAGTTGCTGGAATTTTGTTAATTCATTCACCCTTCTCCACGGAGGAGCTGTTCACAGTGTCTCCCCTGTAAATAGCTGTAGAGCTACAGAACAGGACTTGAAGGCAGAAGTGAGTGTTCACAGACTGTCAGAAAATTTCAGCACGGTCATGTAGAAAAAAAGAGCAGTGTAAGTGGCTAGAGAAATTAGGACTATTTTATCATAATAGCCAAGTTGCCGGACCACAGCAGACAAGAGTTATGGGCAGTTGTGTTATCCTAGGAAGGTAAATGAACAAGTACATGTTTAGCATTTATTTGCTCTTTTCATTTCTTTATGGTCTTCACCCTTTTTTGTTTTATTTTTGCCTTCTGAGCTCTGTTATCTCCACAGGTTAGAGGCTAGAGCTTTTCTGCATATAGAGTATATAAACAAATATATACTTTTTTGTTGTTTGAATCAGTTAAAAAGTCATCAGAAGTTACTTGTTTAGTTTTTTTTTAAACCCACCCAAAAACACCACCCCAAATTTGTCCAGCTATAAATTTGACCCACCTTTATCACTGTTGGATTTAATGGGATTTTTTTTCCTTAGTAGAGTTCAACTTCTCTAATAGAGCTATTCTGAAGTGTGGTGAGAGGCGGGGGACAGGAGTTTACGTGTATAGTTTGCACTTGAGCTTCCTAAGTTTGAGAACTGGATGAGTGTGGCTGGCGTACGACGGCTGTTCCTTAGAATATACACATGCACTTTGACAACTGCTTTTTGGTTCATAACCTTTTCTTTCTCTACATACTTTCACTTTTTTACTCTTTAAAAGGATACCTTTGAAGACTGTACAGATTACTCATTCTTAACATTTTAGCCTAGTTTTGCCCATATGAGCAAATGTTGTGCTTGACAGCTTTTATTGTTGAATGTAAGTACCTTCAGCATCTTAGGAGAATGTGTTCTGTTACGTTCTAGTTCATAGGCTGCTCTGCTGCTGCCCCTAGAAAGAGCCTGTGGAGGCCGTGGTTCTGCTATGACTTGGGGCTTTGGGATAAAAAGGCATTTCCCTGTAGGTGCTGCGGTGTCTTGGCTTGGCCAGCAGAGGCCTGGTGCGTAACAGTTCCTGTGGTGAAATTGCTGAAGAGCTTTTTGGAGATGATGGTTGAAAAGATAAGGACTTGCTTCTAGACATTTAGGAATTTAATCTCAGTTTTCTGTAGCACGGAGTCCATTGAAGTCTAGGTCCTTAGCTTGGTCTTGTAGACATGACCTTTCTAATGGAACATGTAGACTCTGGGGGGTTAGGATTTAGCTATGAGTCTGCTGGTTGATTCGGAGCCCCTGGGAAGCTGGATAGTGGCACTCTTAAATCCTGTATGCTACTGATTATTTCCCCTTTTTAAAGGAAGGCTTTGGGCTTGAGGAGAAGTAAGCTTCTGCAGTATGAATGGGTGGTTTTCTGAATTAGACACCTGGTGGAATGCAGATAAAGCAGGTTTCCTTTGGCTTTTCAAACTTGGAGTGAGTTGATTCTACTCTTCTTTGTTTCTCTTTCCTTCTGACTTCTGTCCTGGGCATCTAGCTTTTCTCTTACCTTGTTCATTGTCAAGTTATTTCACAGAGATTGTTTGTACTAAGAGAACTAAACCTTTGGGGACAGGGAGGGTGGAAAGTAGAGCTTATTTCCTCCTGCACCTTTATTTG